AGGCAAAATGATCACTAGACCATCACCAATGAAGGTTGGCATTGAATCTCCTGCCTTTTTAGAGCGTATACATGGGGATATATGTGGACCTATTCACCCACGAAGTGGGTTGTTTAGATATTTTATGGTCCTAATAGAAGCATCTTCAAGGTGGTCTCATGTGTGCCTACTATCATCTCGCAATCTGGCGTTTGCAAAGCTATTAGCCCAAATAATTCGATTAAAGGCACAATTCCCAGATTGTCATATAAAGGGTATTCGCCTTGATAATATTGGTGAATTCTCATCTCAAGCTTTTGATTATTATTATCTATCAGTTGGGATAAAAGTTGAACATCCTGTAGCTTATGTTCATACTCAAAATGGCCTTGTAGAGTTATTTATTAAACGCCTGCAATTGATAGCAAGACCGCTACTTATGAAAACAACATTGCCCACTACTGTTTTGGGCTATGCTATCTTGCATGCAACATCACTTATCCGTCTTAGACCGATATGTTATAATAAATATTCTCCGTCACAATTAGTTTTTGGTCATGAATCAAATATTGCTCATCTATGAATTTTCGGATGTGCTGTATATGTGCCAGTAACACCACCACAACACAGTAAGATGGGGCCATAGAGAAGGATAAGAATATATGTTGGGTTTGAATCACCCTCTATTATTCGCTATCTTGAACCATTGACAGGAGATTTATTTACTGCTCGATTTGCAGATTGTCGGTTTGATGAAACAAATTTCCCACAATTAGGGGGAGAGAAAAAGGAAATCAAAAGAGAAATTGTGTGGAAAGTTTCATCATTATCTCACTTTTATCCCCGTATCCCTATATGTAATTAAGAGGTCCAGAAGATCATCTATTTACAGAATATAGCAAATCAAATGCCAGATGCATTTACTGATTTAAAAAGGATAACTAAGTCACATATCCTAGCGGAGACTGTGCCTATCCGAATTGATGTCCCAGTAGGACCATCTAATAGCATGAGAGCTAGTGAACCTAAAGCACGCCTGAAGCGTGGTAGGCCTTTGGGTTCTAAGGATCGAAATCCTCGAAAAAGAAAATCGACGAATGATCAAAACGATACTATGAAGGGATCTCCTGAAGAGACCTAAGATCTGATTAATTCTGAGATTCCTGAAGAAATCAATGAACTCGAAGCTCATATGAGTGAAGAACTTTTAATAAGTTTGACTGGTGATGGGATTAATTTAAATCGATCTGAAATAGTGGTGGATAATATTTTTGCATATAATGTTGCACTTAATATTATGCAAGATAGTAAGGATCTTGAACCTCGATCTGTCGAAGAATGTCGACAAAGATCTGATTGGCCAAAATGGCAAGAGGCAATTCAATTGGAATTAAAGTCACTTGCTAAAAGAGAGGTCTTTGGACCAGTAGTCCAAACACCTGCTGTTATAAAACTAGTTGGTCATAAACGGGTTTTTATGCAAAAAAAGGAATGATAAAAATGAAGTTGAAAGATACAAAGCTCGCCTTGTTGCACAAGGATTCTCACAACGACCTGGAGTCGATTTTGATGAAACATATTCACCTGTTATGGATGCCATAACATTTTGATATCTCATTAGTTTAGCACTGCATGAAAAGCTTGAAATACATCTAATGGATGTAGTTACAGCTTATCTGTACGGTTCACTTGATAATGAAATTTATATGAAAATCCCTGAAGGATTTAAAATGCCTGAAGCGAATTCAAAATCTCAGGAAATTTATTTAATTAGATAACAAAGATCTTTGTACGATTTAAAGTAATCTGGGCGCATGTGGTATAATCACCTTAGTGAATATTTGCTGAAAGAAGGTTACATAAATGATGTTATTTGTACATGTATTTTTATAAAGAAAATAACATCAGAATTTGTTATATTTGTTGTTTATGTTGATGACATAAATCTTGTTGGAACTCTAGAAGAGCTCCAAAAGGCAATTGAATATCTTAAGAAAGAATTTGAGATGAAAGATCTTGGAAAGACAAAACTTTGTCTTGGTCTGCAAATTGAACATTTAGCAAACGAGATTTTTATCCATCAATCTACCTATATAGAAAGGGTCTCTAAATGCTTTTACATGGACAAAGTGCACCCATTGAGTACACCAATGGTTGTTTGATAACTTGAAGTGGATAAAGATTTGTTCCGACCTCCAGAAGAGGACGAGGAACTCCTTGGTCCTGAAGTACCCTATCTCAGTGTAATTGGTGCACTAATGTATCTTGCTAATGATACAAGGCCTCACATAGCATTTTCTGTTAATTTACTAGCAAGATATAATTCTTCTCCTACATGGAGACATTGGAACAGGATTAAGCATATATTGCGATATTTAAAGGGAACTCTTGATATGAGTTTGTTTTATGCTAACAAAGAAAGTGTAGATCTTGTTGGTTATGCAGATGCAGGTTATTTATCTGATCCCCATAAAGTTCGATCTCAAACTAAGTACGTATTTACATATGGAGGTAGTGTCATATCATGACGCTCCACAAAGCAATCTATTGTTGCTACTTCTTTAAATCACGCTGAGATAATAACTATTCATGAAACAAGTAGGGAATGCGTATGGTTGAGATCAATAATTCATTTTATTCGAGAAAAATGTGGTTTGGAATATGAGAAAAGACTCACAATTTTATACGAAGAGAATGTTGCATGCATAGCCCAATTGAAGGGAGGATTTATAAAAGGAGATAGAACGAAGCACATTACACCAAAATTATTCTACACACACGATCTTCAGAAAAGTGGTGACATTGATGCGCAACAAATCCGTTCAAGTGATAATCCAACAGATTTATTCACTAAATCCTTGCCAACATCAACTTTTGAGAAGATGATATACAAGATTGGAATGTAGAGACTCAAATATTTAAAACAAGATTTACATTAGGGGGAGTAAAATACGCGATGCACTCTTTTTTCCTTACTAAGGTTTTCCCCCATGAGGTTTTCCTTATGAGGTTTTTAATGAGACACATTATCTTTTAATGAACATCAAATGGGGAGTGTTATAAATATATTATATTATGGATGTTCATTTAGTACTCCGTTGTAAATAAACCTCCTGAAGAAGCTTATCCATATGGGACTCTGCCGTAAATATGTTTATCTATTTAGTACTCTATTGGAAATAAGCTTCCTGAAGAAACTTATCACTCTGGTACCCGGTTATGGATAAACATTACCCCGATAGAAGATTATCCATACTGGGTATAATAAACTTATCCTTTCGATACTTCGTTATGGATAAATATTATCCCCGGTAGAAAATTATCCATACCGGGTACAATGAGCTTATACTTTCAGTATTCCGTTATGGATAACCATTACCCCTAGTAAAAGATTATCTATACTAGGTACAATGAGCTTATCCATTCAGTACTCCGTTATGGATAAACATTGCTTTCAGTAGAAGATTATTCATATCTGGAATAATAGTAGCTTACACAATAGCTTATAGTAACAGCTTACACAACAACTTGCAGTAGCAGCTTACACAACATCTTGTAGAGCGGCTTACACAGCAGCTTGCAGTAGCAACTTACACAATAGCTTACACAACAACTTCCTTTCTTTAGAAGAGATTTCAGTTTATTATGTACATCAGTTTGAGTTCGAATAATATATCAGTTTCTGTATATACTTGTCTTTACTTTATTGTGTTTGTTTTATAAACGTCCTCCTAATTTTTGTAAAAACACAAAAAAGATAGTAACTCTCTTCGAACCGGGAAAAAAGAAAAGAAAAAGAAACCTAGAAGACAGCAGTTATTACCCCCAAAGTCGCCCGCTCTTCTATCTTTGTCCCGCACCCTGCCTCTCGCCCTTCTTCTTGCTCTGTATCTTCACCTACGGCACTCTGAGTTGCTATCTCACACATTCTCAGTTCCCACAAATCACAACTTACACAATCCAGAGAGTTTTCTTTCTTCGACTTCGTGTGAATTTTCGAGCTCCTTTGGACTCTCCAGTTCCATAGGTGAAGCTCAGCCAAAAAGAATTGCCGTGTTCAGAGATTTTGTACCCTTTCGTGGACTCTTTAGCTTTTCGTTTCGTGGAAAGTTTGACAAGTGAATTCCTATACTGGAGAGCTGCGTTAAGGATTGAGCAATTTTGATTTTGGACGTGAGGAGCTGAGGGTTTCAGAGCAGTTTTTCATTGAAGTTGTGCTATGGAAGCCGCCATTCTCAGCTCTTGCACACCGCTTTCCACAACGGCGGACCTCTGGATTCGAGGCAAGTCTGTCTCCTTTTTTCTTTTTGCAACTTATTTGTTTCCAAATTAGTCACCCGTCCGTCTTTGCTGGATTTATCGTTAAAACTACGCCTTTGCCATCATTATTTCGTAATGTACTACTTCTTTTCTTTCTTGTTTTTCTCTTTCCTTCTCTATGTTTGTGTTTTTAGCATGTTAATTTTCCTCATTGTGAAATGGGTGTCACTTGAATAAATTTCAAAGCTTATTTTCCAATTGAAGCATTGGTTGCTCTCCACGCGCGCCCGTGTGTGTGTGTGTGTGTGTGTGTGTGTGTGTGTGTGTCTGCACCAAAGAGAGCTTAGATAACTGATGACTATGTGGTGAGGACTGAGGGTTATGATTCAAATGGTTGGAGTGAGGTATTTCTGAAGAAATGATGAGTACTTTGTAGTCTTAGAAGGCTGTATACATGGATGGCTTTACCATCCATCTCCCCTTCTTGCGAGTGTCTATGTTGGAAAGCATCTTCTTCGGCGTTGCATTCTCCTAGTATCAGTTGCATATAAAGTCCGCAGTCTCCAAGAGGATGACCCAGTGTTGAGGTAACAACTTGGAGGTCCGAATTCCAGCTACCACTTGGTGTGAGTCCATGGTACAATTGCCTTCGCAATCTATGCTCGTGCACTGGACTAGCTGCTTGTTTAATTAGTCGAAGTGCGTGGCAAGCTGTCCATTACCAATACAACATAAAATAAATAAAAATTAAAGTCTCCATAACCATAAGATGATTTTCATTTACTCCGGACAGAAGTAAATGTAAGAACATTAAGCAAGATAAGAAGAAAGTTGAATAAAAACCTGTGTGTAAGCTTTCCAGTTTTTTACGCAAGGTTCAATGGGAGGAAAACTGCTTTTGCTTCGTGGGTCTATCGCCCCAATTGGTTTAGTTAGGAAATTTTTATGAGTATGGCCCTATCCAGTAAGCCTTTTATCATCGGGAGCCCCTTCCATTTGGCCCAAGCTTTCTTTCAATTACGCTAGAATGTTTCAAAATCAGATTTTGAAACACAACAACTAGTCTTCTGTTAGGTCAAGGGTTCAAGACAAAATAAATAAATAAATAAATAAATTTAAACACATATGTACAGTGTAAATTGCAAAGCAGTTGATCTCTTTAATGACATACTCTTATCTAAGCGAAATTTGCAGGTTCTGTTTGGTTGATATTACTTTACTTGCTTGAGGGCGTTATCCTATAAATATAATTATATTTTCCAAGTAAAGCAGTTTTACAAGGGGATGTAATTATGTTAATACCTTCCTAGGAAAAGCAATTGTTAAGACTTGTAATTTTAGCGGTGAATTTTTCTTGATTTGAACTAGAGAATATATTTTAAGTCTCTTGATTTTACTATATACAGATTGTGGCAATATATAACTTGGGTTATGCGCCAATCTTAACAAACCTAAAGCATGTTTATTTGCTTCACCAGTCTATCACTCGAGCTCTATATTTTGCTCTTTCTGGTAGAAACGCATTTAAGACCAGTTTTTTTTTTCTTTTTTTTTCCAACTTTTGTCTAGCAGGAAAGTTTGCCGGATGTAATCTCCATTTCTATAATTTGCCATTGAACAGAACACACCTTCCTCTCAAGTTAAAATTTTCTGAATCGAGTAGAAGGCACTTTTCTTCACGAAAGGATCTGATATTGTCTAATGGTAAGAAAGGATTATCCAGCTATTTCACCCATCAACTTGCAAGTGGCTATACAAGTATCAGGGCATCATCTGGAGAAACGCTGCATTATAGACAATCTTCACCAGTAAGTGAAGATGAGGGAGTGTCACCAACATCGACAGATGCCAATGACTTTGTATCCTTGCAGCCTAAGCAGAAGAAATTCAGAAATAGATTTTTGAACTTTGTAAGACTGGGTTCCGTCATTGATAATGCTGCCGAGTCTTTTTTCAAGAGTGAGATACGGAGAAGGCTGTTTGTGACTGCCATTTTAATTGTCATCAGTCGTATAGGATATTTCATTCCTCTTCCAGGATTTGACAGGAGGTTGATTCCAGAAGACTATCTCAGCTTTGTCTCGGGATCTGTTAGTAAGTTGTTTTTTCATCTAGAGTTATACTTTCTTAGTTAATGGAGTTCATTTTTGAAATGAGTTGGTTGTAGCGACCGGCTCTTCAGACGCTGAACGGGGACTTGGGAAGGGGTGAAAGGATGATTCTTTTTCTTCCATTGAATTATCAATAAACTGTCTTTGCAGATGAACTTGGTGATTCCACTCCCGAACTGAAACTCTCCCTTTTCCAACTTGGGGTCAGTCCTCAGATAGCAGCATCAATTCTTATGCAGGTCAGCTTACTTTCACCATATATAAAATTTTTGAACCAGGATAAGAACATTTTGCTGTACTCTTTTATTTTCTATGTTTCATAAGCTATTTTATTATGTGCAAAGAAGTTTTTTTTTCACATCTTCTGCTTACATGAATATATTTGTTATGTTGGACCACCAGAGGGATGTACCAGAATAGTTTTTCCCAAAATCTTTCTGTGGACCTACATCTGTATGTACTGTAGTATATAAATGTCAGGTGAAAAGAATGTACTGATTTTTGAACCGTGCTCTGGCCTCGGGCATGTCTCGATTATAAAAAAGAATATATTTCAGGTGAAAAATGTTGAAACAAGACATCTACCAAAGTGATTTCTAAAAGAGATTTAAGGAATCTTGGAGGAGGGTGTTGTCCGAGTTGGAGAAAAGTGAAAATAACAGCTAAACTTTTGTGCTGTTCAAGATAATAAGAAAAGGTATTTGAACAATAATAATACTCACATCTAGTGACTGCACCATTGAAAACTACCTCAAGCATTCCTCCAACATCATTTCTATTTTACTGATCGTTGTCGATTTGCTTAGAGCATTCTTTTAAAGGGTTTTATCTTTCTCCCAAAAAAAAAATTACTTTTAAAGGATTTTATTGCGGTGGAACAGAATGCATTTTCTGTTTAGTTGATTAGTACTATTGCTGAAAGAGCAAGTGATTCATGCGTCCTTCTGATTCAGTGGTTTGATAGGGACCAAGACATATGAAGTGGTAGGATTCATCTTTCTGTTACATAATGCCTCAGTTTTGTGCAAAACTAGTGAATGCCAATTTCCCTGTTCAGGTACTATGTCATGTTCTTCCTTCTTTGGTAAAGCTGAGAAAAGAGGGCTTAGATGGGCATGAAAAGATCAAGAGTTATATGTATGTCTAGTTTTTTCATATCAACCAGTGAGATGGATTGTTCTTTTACTTTGGTGGTCAATTTCTTTGTTTTGTCCTCAAAAACTTGCACAAGCTTATGAAACTTTGGATCTATTTTAGATGGTGGATCTCGCTTGGTTTTGCAATTTTGGAGGCTCTTATTCTCTCTTGTTACTCACTTCCATATTCGATATATGCTGCCAGTCATAGGTAAGAGAGGTACAAATTTTTCGTGTAATAATCAATGTGATTGTACTTTTGCAATTTTCAATTTTCATTGCGCACAAAATGTCGCGGAGTATTATTTTTATTGCATAATGTGGGAGTTCATTTTCCAGTAAAGTTTTATTTCTTTAAATTAGCTCCATTTCTTCTGTACAAAACTGCAAAGTAGCCTTAAAGTTGTTTATTTTCTACCCCAGCTTTGGAAATTTTCAAATTTTGTTTTTTGATATTCCTAATTTGGAAAGAGAAGTGAATACTACTCTTGTTGTCTATTTACTTTAAGTTGATCTGTTTCTTAAGCACATTGTTCAATGTAAAACTTGAAAGTTATATTATTGAAAATTTAGAAAATGCTTAGAAGCACGTTAAGGCATGAAGTTGTAAATTCCTAGTTTTTCCATTCCATCCCACATATCCCATCTTAAAGTGTCATCAATGTATCGGTTTGAAGTATAGCGTTGTTCTTGGCTCAATTAGAAAGAGCAAAGGAAGAGCTTGAAAATCTTCCACTGGAAGTATACCCGCTTTCTTCCTTGTATTTTGGTTTGAATTTTGACGTAAATCATTAAGGAGGTATATATCCTATTGATTTGAAAAAGGTGGATTGAATTTTGGTTAATTTGGTTCAAGAAGATTACTTTATTAAAGATAGTTACTGATTTATCTGCACATAGTGATCGAAAACAACAATTGCATCTAGCTCGCTTAATTAATGGGATGCTATGATTGCGGCACGTTTGGTATAAGGTTGCCCCCTCTTTATCTATTGGAAGTAGATAATAGTAATACGACAGTTGTTTTTTGATCATTTTCTGACAAACTTTTCATTGACTTTTGATTGTTTTGACGTTCTCTTTTCATTTTTTGTTCAATCGGATGAGAAATACTCCTTGAAGATTTTTTATTTCTGAAGCTTGAAGCCTTCATCTGCTCTCTTAGTGCTGGTGTTAAGTTGATGAAATCTTTCTTTTACTGATAAAAGAGAGAGAATATATTGGTATTTGGAATAATCAGCAAAATCAAACTTCCTTGCGGATTCGTTCTTCTTATGTGCTATTAGAAGATGAATCCGAGAGCCTTTTAGTAGCTTTTTTTGGCGACTGAAAATGTTTTTCTGTATAAAGGCCTTCAGCATAATAGCATTGAATTGTTCTTGTTCCTTGAAATATTTAACGCCAATCATCTCTCATTGTTGAGAGGGTTTGTAAAAGCTAAGTCTTGATACATAATTGTTCTCATCCACGGTTGTTTGGGTCAAAGTTTCTTCTCATGCTGCTGATGTTTTATTTGCATAATGTTGGCTGAAATTAGTACCACTCTGAATCACCTTCATTTTGTTGCAGGGTTAAGCATGTGTTGATGACTTCATTCCTTTTAGTTTCTGGTGCAATGACTATGTCATGGATCTGTGACACAATAACAGAGTCTGGATTTGGTATTTGTTCCTTCTGTGCTTCTTTCTTTATCTTATTTTCTTTTCTTTCTTCCTTTCTTCCTTTTTTTAAACGTGCCTTAAATTTCTAATTCTACTTGTTTTTTCCCTATTTTAGGCATCTTTGCTGCTTGTTTGTCTTTTTTCATTGTTTTATTGTTATTATTATTATTATTGTTGTTGTAGTATTATTATTACTACTATTATTATTGTTGTTATCATTATTATTCATATTATTGTTATTACTATATTTTTTTTCCATCTCTCCCTTCACGTCATACTATTTTCCTCTGAGTAGTGCTTTGGCTTTTCGATACTCCCCCATGCAATTCTTACTCTCTTAGTTTGACCTGGTGATGTGGCACGATTATTAGTTAAAGGGCTAAAAATGTTTATCATTTTGTATTTACTGACACAACATGTGGAATTCATTGTTAACTTTTGTAGATCTGGATATATAAAATAGTGACCAAGTTCCTAGTCCAAAAAAAGAAAGAAAGAAAGAGAAAAGAATGGAAACAGAGCTGGCTAGGGAAGAGTTAAAAGAAATGGCCGATGACCTTCAGTTATGTAAAATGTATTTAAAATTTATTTTAGGGAAAGTGGACTGCAAAAAGAAAACTAGGCCTGTTTGACTGAGGCATAAGGAATAGTAAACTAGTGGCATGATGACGCTTGTTTTCTCCGATGAAAGTTAGTATCACTGTCTGTTAAGAGTTGTTTTGGCATACTTTTGGGAGGTCCAATTATAGTTCTTCTGTTTAAATCTGAGATTGTAGAAGTTTGAAGAATTATGTAGTGACTGAAATTGGCCAATCCAACTAATTTGGTATAGACTTGGTTGATCTACTGATATATTTGAGGAATGATGTAACTGAAATTAGCTAACTCCAATTAACTTGGTAACGAGACTTAGTCGGTTGATTGATATAAGTTATAACTGAATGAAATTGAATTTGATTGATTCTTCCTTTTCTGTTCCCTTGCTCTTCCTTTTCATGTTTGCTGACCACTACTGGATGGTTTCAGGTCAAGGATCGACTTTGATTATTTGTGTGGGTATTCTCACCGGCTACACAGATACATTGCAGAAAATGTTAACTCAAATAGCAGGTGGGTTACAAATGAGATACTGTAGCCTCTTAATTCTTTCTGATCATTGTAATCATTTGGCAATTACATCAGCATGTTGTGTACGAGAATTGATTCTTTCTTTTGTCCTGAACCCATTTTTTACCTGTGTCATGATCCGAAAATGGTTAGAAGTACATAACAAAAGAATTTGATAAACCAAAAAAAAAAGAGGATCGAATAGTTCACTCCCTCTAAATTCTTGATTAAAGTATCCTTTCATTCTAACATACACAGGGAGTAGCGGGAGCTGGTGGCCTTATGTACTTGCTGTGCTAGGTGTTTTTACTGTTGTTACAATGTGGGCCGTCGTTGTGAGTGAAGGTTGCCGGAAAGTTAAGCTGCAATATTACGGTTTTAAAGTTGCTTCTGCTGCAAGGTGACTTGAACTCTGAATTGCTGATGATTTACATTTTCTTTTGGCGGACGCCAGATTTTATGTTGCTGAATAATGTGAAAGCTTCGTAGGAACAACTGTATGCCTAATGCTCATGTAAATGTTGTTATGAGCTAAGATTTCGGGGAACTTAGACAACATTATTTGAGTGGTAACGGGAACTTAAAAACTTGCCAGTACTACAGTGAAATTTTATAATGGAATTTTTAGTACTGGTGGTAACTGGAGGTATATGTAGAGTAGAAATTTCTTATCAAGGAATTATTGAGTAGCTCATATCAGTGACTAGTATGAAATATGAATGCATCTAAACTTCCATAATATTTGTGTTTTCTTAAATCATAGATTTCATGTGCATGCAATACTGAAGTAATTACTTTCTCTTGCATGCCTGACCATGTGTAAGTGAGTGCGACTAATAAGAGCAGGGAGGAGTAATTGTACTCTGCCATATTTGGATGCACAAGCCATGTACTTTACCACCAAATGGAATGAGTTTATGACTGCTTGAATATGTAGCCTTGTAGGACAGGGCTGAACTATTTTTTCACTTGATTGATATTTCACAACTGGAAAAAAGGAATTTTGTTTGGTGTTCTGGATGATAAATCACTCAAACATGTCTGGCTTGTGCCTGACATGTAAGTATGGATATGTACACACACGCGCACATGCACATTCATCCATGTATGCAAACACATACATACAAAAAGAACTCTCTAGTTGTGACTTGGGACCCCCCGAATAATTGAGTTGGAAGCGAATTTGTTATTTGGCTTTGGAATTTGTTACAACTTATATTTGTACTATCTAGGAATGTAGAAGCTAGTTATCGTAGACTTCAGTTTCTTTTACCTACAGATACATATAGTTGTGAATATATTAATTATTGGCGTCTGATTTAAGCGACTCATCTTGAGCAGAGAAGATTCTCCAGTTCCGGAGGTGGAGCCCTATATACCATTCAACATAAATCCAGCAGGAATGCAGCCTATCCTTGTTACCTCCTATCTGTTGGCACTTCCCAACATCCTTGCAAGGTTACTTTATATTCAACTGAATTACATTACAGTCACACCAGTACGTTAGTGGTTCTTTGCTTATACTAAAACAAAAGAAAAGAACTTTAGTGGTTCTTTACCATTGTTTTAGTAGTAGGATCTTACCTACATTAGTGATTTGGAACCAATATTGTACCTGCGCTTCAGTTGGCATAAGCTTTTTGAATTTTCAGCTGCAGGTTTCTGACACGTACTTTCTTTGACAGTCTTCTTGGTTCAAGGTTTTGGGAACACATCAGAGACATTTTGAATCCTGACACTTCTCTTGGGGCAGATCCGTGGGTTTACTATGCAGTTTATGCTTTCTTTGTCTTCCTCTTCAACATATTTGACATTGTAAGTTTGCCATTGACTTAACGTGCAGAAAGTGGATTTTAAAATGTTGCTTCAATATTACTGCTTAATTGGCATGATAGAACATCAGTGGAGTCAATTCAATAGGCTGGGTCCTTTTTAACAAGGATGTTGCTGGACTAAAACGTTTCTATCTAGTTCCTTGGATTGAAGTCCTCCAGTCATTAGGGAACCCAAAATAACAGTTGGCCTAATAAGGTGAAATAATAAATAAAAGATACCTGGACATGCTGGTGACTTTATGATGTTCAGGGCAGATGTTGGCGAAACTAGAAATTGAACTCAACCTTTAAGAGTTGCTAATTAGGTAGCCAGGAGGTCCAAAAAGAATAGAAGACCACATAATGCTGAATTTTCTCTGAATAAAAATAAGGGGAGAAAGAAGTAGTCTTTAGGAAAGATGATGTCACGTAGAGAAGTGACTAAAAACTGATTATCTGATGTCATTCTCATATCAATTTCTGGGCGTTTATCACTTGAAGAAAGAAACTCCTTTGAAAGGTTTTCAGGGATATTCTCTCTTGCTCGGTTTTACTTAACAGTAAACTTGTGACCAGGCCAACATGCCAAAAGAAATTGCTGATTACTTAAACAAGATAGCTGCTAGAATTCCAAGTATAAAGCCTGGAAAAGCCACAATTGAATATCTGACAAAGATCCAAGCTTCAACACGGTTCTGGGGTGCAGATCTCTCTCTCTCTCTCTCTCAACCTCAATTTCTTCTTGTATGATTCACTAACAGAAGATGCTTTTCTTTTTTTATTATATTGCATTGTTATGCAGGTGGTCTGCTATTAAGTGTTTTGGCCACCACATCCACCATTCTGGACCATAATTTGCGTCATATCAATGAAGGATATGCAATAGGATTGACATCAGTGCTAATAATTGTGAGTTCATGGTTTCAGTGCTTTATTAACACAAACAGCCATCGCGCGCGTGCGCAGCTATAGTCTCTCTAACCCAAAGGTTAAGGAAAAAAGAGGAACAAAATGAATGTGATGTGGATACCTCCTTAAACTTTTTGGCATCAATACTAATGATATACGTTCATGGAACCCTCAGGGGTTGGCCTGGTGGCAATTGACTTAAGCCTTGGGGTTTGCTCCCTTTCAAGGTCTCAAGTTCGAAACCCACTGGGTGCAAACAATTTCTGAGGGCCATC